ATATATAAAATGTTGGACACCACTAGAGTCACATATATGAGGTACTTTCTTTATCCTTAAATACATCTTATATCTCAGAGTTTAAAATTATCTTACATGGGATTTAATTCCAGCTTTCATTTGGGATATCACAATTCCACAGAAAATCAACCTTTTGAAGTGGTTCCACACTTCTGCTAGAACATTGTAAGGATGGAGAACTTAGTGTCTCTCCAAAACTACCCATTATATACTACTCATCATCAGAAAAAGTTTCCTTGATATGATTTCAGACTTGCGTAAACCCTTTCTTTTTAAAAAAACTGAAGATTCATTCTTCCTTTACATATATATATATATATATATATATATATATATATATAACTGTTTTGACACTTCTTGGTCTTTTTAAATGTTTGGCACATTTTCTTTCACTCACAGCAGATTACAGAAAATTTTACCACATATTTATTTGTCTTCTATAGAAGATCACTCTTATGAGAAAATAACTTTGATTCCATAGTATCTTATTGCCCCACTTTAAAAATTACCTAGGAAATAGAATATTACTTGACGTTATCCTATATTCTATAATAATCACCCCTGTAATAAACTTCTCAGTGTTTGAGAGATTTACGAGGCCTTTGATGTCAGGCCTCTCCATAGACATAGTATATGTTCATTTTTATTACCAAGTACAACTTTTTTAATCCTTTTGGCACTTTGCATTAATTAGGGTTTTCAATTTTGTTAAAATACAATAGCAGGCCCTTCCCTGGTGGCACAATGGGTTAGAATGCAGTAGTGCAAACTAGCGGCAGCCTCTTCAGTGTGAGTTTGGTCTCAGGCCTGGGAGGTGAACCACATGGTACAGCACACTTCTGTCTCACCTGCTGCTCCCCTCAGCAGTGTACTTCATCATCTGCCTGTTCTGCTCCCCTCTCTGTCTCTGGTGAATCTTCTCACCGCTCCCGCACTTCTGGCTTACACCCAGTTCTGTATGCATAAATAAAATCTTTAAAAAAATTCAGTAACATGATTGTTGTGGATTGTAGGAGAGCTAGTGTTTTAGTCTCAGACTAGAATTTTCCTCTTGACCTTGAACTTAATTGAACAGATAGCCGGAGGTTGACATCATGGATGATTGTGAGGATATATATATTTTTAAGATTTATTTATTTATGCATACAGTACTGGGGTACAGGCCAGAGGTACAGGGGCAGTGAGAGGATTCACCAGAGACAGAGCGGGGAGCAGAACAGGCAGATCAATGAAGAACACTGCTGAGAGGAGCAGCAGGTGGGTCAGTAGAGGTCTGCTATGACATGTGGATCACCTCTGACCTGGGGATCAAACTCATGCTGAAGTGGTTTTAGCTTCTTAGTGCTGCACTTTAACCTGCTGCATCACTAGGGAGGGCCCTGATTGGTAAGGTATTTTATGTAGTTCTATAATTATGTTTATTAGTAAATCCTTCCAATGTGGCACATAGAGTCGCATGTATAACAGAAATGTGATCTTTGCATTTTCCTATATGGTAGCAGAAACTTTTTGAATTTGGTGTGATCTGATTGTCTTCTTCACAGTGATAGTATGTGATGTCATTTTCAAAACTGTCACATTGTGATATAAGGTTTATGATCTTAGTCTCCTTTTTTCTGTAACATTTTCTTGACATATGACTAAAATTTTTTCAGTGAGAGAACTTGTAAATCTTTTATAGAAAATAAGTCTAGATATTGTCTTTCCTTTACTGGAAGCAGTAGAAAAGGAGGAAGGTAACTGTTCCCTGCAGTGGCATTGAAGTAGAAAGACAATGGAAATCAGAGACAGGGCATTTGAATCTAGTCCCAATCACTAGTTCTGTTTACTCCACCAGCTGACCTTGGGCGAGTCTTGTACATCTTTGGTCTTTATATCTTGGTAACATTGCCTTAGGTCAGTTTTTCTCAAGGAGGTTTGGAGAATTCTGCAAGTTGTATCTTACATCTTATAGATTTTCAACAAATTTTGGCATATTAAAGTGTCTGTAAAATCCCAAGGTCAAAAAGCACATTTAAATTTGATTAATAGTATAATTTTCAAAATATTACTTTCCATAAAGTAATGTTAATAAAAAGAAATTTAGACCTACTGTTCAGTGGAGTAAACTAAGGAATGTGCTATGTGAATATCTTAATTTTATCCCAAGGTTACATATGATATCAGACAAATTTAACGAATGTGAGTAGAAACAATACAGTTTTATGAATGAGTACTAATTGTGAGGGATTAAATGATTATTTGTGGTAGATTGCCCAATATCATCCAAATAGCAATATGAAAATGATCCTTGCAATAATATAGATATCATCTGATTATCAAATAGACTTTTGAATGTTTTCATTGGTTATACCAATCTTAGATAAGAACTCAGACCTGCCACTCTTTGTCCATGTGGCTGTTTCTTTCTAATACACTGATTTCA